AAGTTTTGCTTCTAAATTGAATAAGAAATCTGATGATTTCCAATAAAATCCAGTGGTGTCGAAATATGGGGGTAAAAAGGGGAAACCCCCCCCCAAAATATCCGCCGCTGGGCCTTTTGTAAGAAATTTTACCTAGGTACACAAAATTTGAGCAGAAGTTATTTAAAAAAAAAACGTTTTTTTGCCTTTGAAGGGCTATTAGTGTGTTAGTGTGTATTTTTAAAAAATGTTTTTGGGTTTGTTTTTATTGTTTTTTCAGGCTCTATCGATCATTAAAATTTTTCAGATTAATCCTGGACCACCCTGTATATCAATATTTTATAATAATTAACAAGTAAATTATCAATAATAAATATTAATGTCAGCAGAAGTACCATTTTTTAAATACTAAAAATACTAAATCAAACTGGCATAAGCAATTGCTGGTTAACCAACTTTAAAAAAACACGATTCTAAATAAAAAAATGAAGTGTATATATTTCACTGTTTAATCCGACGTTTAACGTTATACAGACGTTTTCATTTTTCCTTATTATTCGTTATCAGTAAGAAAAAATACTTATCAATAAGAAATTTCTGAAATCATGAAAATCTCGTTAACTATAAATAATAAAAAAAATCAATAAAAGCTTTTTGTTGTTCAAACGTCTGAAGATAACATAAAAAAAGTTATACAAAAATCTTTATTTAAACCTACAGGTTTTTGAAAATAAGGCATTTAATATATTTTAATTTTTCCAAAGATTTTCGTTTTTGTTCAAAAATAAGCTATAACAGAAGTTATTATATATAATGTCAAAAATGACAAATGCGAAAATGCGCTGTAAGATGTCAGATGGCAAAAATAATAGATGAGTCACCTGTCATTTTTGACAGATGACGGAAGTCAAAAATGACAGCGGTTCATCTCGCTCTTCAAAAATCGATATCTCGGCAACAAATGAAACGCTCCTCATAAAACAAAAAACGAAAATATTTGGAAAAGATCTGGCTGTGAGATAGTATCTTTTTTAAAACAATTAAAATATATTAAATGCTAAATGCCTTATTTTCACGATTTTCTTTTTGTTTATTTAAAAAAATACTTATAAATTAAGTATTTTGTCAAACTTTTTTTGTATGTAATCCTTTGAGCAAAAAATAGCTCTTTTCATGATTTTATAGTGTTCATTTTGTCCCAAAAAATAAAAAAGCCAAAAACCATCATGAATTTTTAAAAAAATAATCTTTTTTAAATTTCGTTGTGCCATTTGGCTTTACTAACAGAACTTAAAAACATATTCACCCTCAAAATGAAAGAACGAACGACCATTTGTATTTAGCTTTTTACCTATCACAAATGTACTTTTACTATTGTACACAATAAAAAGTAAAAAATATATAACTAATAAATCAGGAGAGATTGCGTCTATTTGTTGCTTCTTGGGCTTCTGGTTTTATATCACATGTTTGTGTTGTACAACGGGTGTTTTTGTTTTGATTTAAATTAAATTATTTAAAACTGTTGTCTGATCTTTTATACTTTTTGTCTGGATTAGTAAAATTTATTATTTTATTATGGTGGTGCCCGGGGGTATATACAGGCTTTATTAAGCAACATGTTTCAATTAAGGATAGGTTTTCAAAATACCGGTAAGTTTAAATATTTCTGTTTTTTTTTTAATGAATCCTAGCCTAGGATGTCCTAAACATATAGATATGAAATGAATCCTAGGATTCATATGAATATTTCATTTCTATATGTTTAGGACATTATTCTCTTAATAATTGAAACGCCTTTTTTGAGAAAAAATACAGATATTGGGTAGTCGTCCAACGCCAAAAATGTTATCAATATTTAACGATAAGAGGCAGGGTAAGCAATATTAACGAACTTTTCAAATATCTTGGTACGAAACTGCCATATGGCATATGGGTGGCTATACAGAAGTATTTATAAACAAAGCTTATTCTGTTGGCATTGTATTTTATTAGGCCGCGTCAAAAACAATTGGAGTTCAGGGGGTGGGTATTCCGATTGATCTGATATTTTATTTGTTTTATATATGTTTATCGGTACACCCACGAGCCCACCTAAAATAGTTGGTAACCTTGGTGTTTGACAAATTTTATTATTTACTTTGATTTGAACCAATCAGGTTTTAAATCTTGACAAAGTGAGGTTAGAACCGGCTGACAAATGTATTTAAAAATTTTGTTGGGTCATTCCCCCTGAATACGGAGACATTCAGATCGAAGAAGTTATTAATGAAAATTACTTAAAGTGGATTATTCATATTCAATTATTATCTCTCTTAAAATCTTATACTATTTTAAAACTATATAATATACTATAAGAAAACTAGTGTTAATCTGTATTAAATGATACCTACCTACATTTTTGTAGTATTAATAAGGAGGGTAATAAAAAAGACAAATATCTATGTAACATTTATTATATTTAAATAAAGTTTGTGATTTTTTTTATATATTTTATAATAAAAACAAAAAATATACACAAACCAAATGTATTTACTATATGAGTGACAAGGTCCCTTATCACAATATATAGGAAGGATACTTATTCTTTACAATAGAAAAGAATATGTACTAGCTCCTAGCGAAAAAAATATACGTATATGATAGTACTCCCATCTGAACGAAGTCAATATCATACATAAAAAAAGTTGATAAGGACTTTATCACAGCCTAAACAGCGTCATCAGTGACGACAAAATACAGAGCACTGAACGAAAAAAAAAACAGTTTCACAGTACTGAGATAACAGTTTCTTGCAAAATCTAAAAAATGCAGCCATCTCTCACAATCAATTTTATACATTTTGCAATTAGTCGGCAAAATTTTCCACTGGAAAAAAATGCCAAATAAAACGGTAAAATCCTATATAACAACACAACTCGTGTGATTCCCAGCAACAATTCTGGCTGGCGTACAAAGCAATAAAAATAACTTCAATTTGCATCCCTTATTCTAAGCCAATCACATTTCATAATTATTTACATCAAATTTCATATTAAGGTATAAGATATTGACACAAGTTTATTGGATGCAAACCAAAAGAGTATATCTATTAGTAAGTGTTTATTTACATTTTTTTTTTAATTTTAATCCCTACCGGTCGACATCACATTTGCAAACGCTTTTATTTATTTATACTTATCAGAGGAAGTACTCGCTATCATATAAAGTTAGTTGTACTAATGACGTATACCCAAAGTGCGCTAAGAGTTTTAGGCCACAAATATTTGCTACATCTTGGAATACTGGATATGTGGAATTAAAAACCTTAAAAGTAAATCGTATTTTTATAGCAATTAAGATAAGTTACTTTATAAATATTTAGTGATGTAAAAATAAAAAAAAGTTAATTTAAAAATAATAATTAAAATGGCGTTTGTTTTTTGTTTTGTAAGATAAAATAAACAAAACAATTTTTGACAAGGACAAGTGTCGCCATCTAGAGCGTCTTAAAGACACATTGTAGATTTTCATTAGAAATCGTCGTTGGCAGTTTTAGTTTTTAGTACTGTTAACTTTCGGAAAATACAGGATTTTGTGCTTATGTTCCTAGTAAAAGAATGTTTTCTTCCACGAGATTAATTTAAATGACTCGACAAAGCAAACTACAGCCTCTTCTGCCGTCATCTGCCGCAACTATTTCCGGGGAATACCCTTTTTTACTAATAGGTATAATAAGTAACAGATCGCTTTGATCGATGCGTTAACAGTAATTCTGCGCGCAATAATATACAAAAATAAAGAAAAATTTACTAAAACAAATTTTCTACAGAAGAAATAACAAAAAATCTAATTTCTCTGAGAATAAACTTTGCAATAAATTAGAGTTTAGGAAGAAATAATAGGTTTTTGTTAATATAATAATCAGTGTTTCCACCTCTAGCCTCAATGCAATACTGAATATTTTATTAACATAATCTTTAAGTATATTTCTTCTTAAATACTAGTTAACAATAAAGTTTATTTTTAGAGAAATTTACATTTTTATTATTTGATCAATATAAAATGTTTTAATATTTTTTAGAATAAGGTGCTTTTTATTTTAATTTTTTTTTTAATTTTCTCCATATAAGATTGGTTGTGTGTAGAATAGAAAATCTCTATTAGGAAAACAATGTTTCTGAAAAAACAAATTTCTGAAAAAAAACAACGTGCTTTAAAAAACGGTTTTTTCAGTTACATCACTATGAATATTAATTTAAGCGGATTTATATCCAGTGTTGCCAGATGTACCAAAAACTTGTTGACTCAATAAATCTTAACTCTCCTTTGCAAATATGGCCATGTTTAATGTAAAAATAAATTTCGTCATGCACATATCAACAATTGAACAAATTTTGATTTTTGTTTTATTTAAACACGATAAATCTTTTTAATATCAATAATAAAACGTAACAAACAAAAAAAACGAGTGATGTAAAAATAATTGATCTTCAAGTTGTATAATGATAGCATTGTAAAATTATTGTTATTATTATTATTATTAGGATGTAGATTATTAAAATTATAAGAATGACTAGTCAGTTTATTTTCCAGGTCAAAAAAGTTCTTCGATAAATAAAATTTTGTAAGTCCTAAATCTTAAAGATATGACACTAGTGTGCTTGGTATTGTCAACAATTGCCATCTTGCGTTGGTGGGGTTAAATAATATTGTTTACCTAAAATAGATATTTTCACACCCTGAAGTGACCCGCCAAGCAAGGTAGAACTACGTAATAATAAACATTTAAAAAACCTGTACACAATTGAGGGCATTACAATAAAATGGCTATAAGTGCCTTTTAAATTATTCCGAGATATCTGCATTTAAAGTTATAAAATTAAATAAAACAGTGTTTTAATTTTATTGTAAATTTTAATCTGTTTTATTTAAATTTTTAACTTTAAATGCAAATATCTCAGAATAATTAAAAATACACCCATAGCCCTTTTATTTTAAGACCATCATATTCTCCTCGAAAAATTCAACAACTGTTACTTGGGGGGGTCAAATAATACTTACATTATTCTTTAAAGAAAGAAAGAAAAGAAAACTATGTGTGAACAATGTCCAAGATGGAATCTTTCTTTCTGCAATTAAAAGTGGTGGTGTCAGCGTTGTGCATCGTGTTAAATGAAATTGAACCGTACAGACCGGCCCCGCTCATGGCGGGCAGCTCGCGCGGTATGAGGTTGATTTTTTCGGAGGCGGTGCTCTGGCTGCCGCTGCTGGGCGGCGCGACGGCGTGATCGGGTTTTTCCTTTTCGTCAGCCAAATGATGTCGGACTTCCTGGTTGTGGCTGCCGAGGATGTACTTGAAGAACTCGTAGGTGGACCAGCAGATGGCGGTGGCGGGCATTTGGTACATCACGCGCGCCTGTAGGCCTCTGAAGTAGGCGGGGGGACCGCCCAGCCTAAGTAAAAAAGAAGAAATTTTGATCATGCTAAATAATACTTTTCAGCCGTATAAAAAAATTTGAGATGGGAATCGGAAAGTTTCCAATTGGTAATTTATTTTCATTTTGAAAGTTTCTTTTAAGCTACCGGAAACATTCCTTGGAAACATTCCTTGGAAACTTTCCTTGTTTTTTTCATTTAAATGTCAATTGTTTAACCGCTGATTTTCGTTAAGGCCATGATACAAGGTCAACAAACTTTGAATAAGAATTTAATGTGTGTTAATTTAAAGCAGAAGAAGAAGTATAAATAATGTAAGTTATGATACATAACCTCAATGAAGCCGGATTATTCAGCATCATCACAAAAAACTAAACTAAAATACAACAATAACACTTTTATTTACCTGTTTGGTTTTAAAAAATCCTATTTTGTGTTTTTTACTTTTGCTATTTTTTTATGTGCAATGGTAGTCACTACTAGTCAGAAATGTTAATTTTATTTTGCCTGTAGTTTTTTCTTTCATATTTTATCAGTCGGAACTGCAATACTATTTTTAGTATCTTTTACTTTTCAATATTCCTATATATTAGTTACTTTGTCCCGTTTAATTTTTTTTACGTAATATCTAGGATTTACTAGCAGTGAATTTCTAATAGTAACCATTTTATTTTTATTTTGTAGGTTTCAGTATACAATAGGAATATTCCAAAGTAAAAGATACTAACATTTTTTTTATTTTTTTTCTTAATAAAATTTGACAAAAAGTTAATGTGTTATATATTTTTGCAAATCCCTGGCATAAAAAAAATATTTTCGCAATAAAAATTTTTTTTTTTAAACTTTCGGAAAATTTTGGGAATTTTCGATGGAAAATTTCCGGGAATTTTCGTCAAATGGGAATTTTCCCATCTCTATAAAAAATACAACAAACTAAAATAAATTATAAATCATTTTAAATAAATGCTAAACAAAAATCCGACTTTTTCCGACCATTTGGCCAAATTTTAATACACTCACAGGCAAAATAGTCGATCCACACAAATTTTCGATGAATTTCAATCGCAAATAACTTTTTTATTTGATTTCGGATTTAAACAAATATTAAAGAATATTGTAGATACATTAATGGAGAATCGCTCGCATTTTAAAAATTACTAAAAAAATACACGTACGTTTATAATATACAGGTTTAAACAAAAATATGTTTTTTACCATAAGTTTAAGACACTCTATAGAGTGGCAAAACCGTATATTGTTCTAAATTAAGTTTTAATTATTAAGTCACATCTATTTTTAACAGTTTTGTTTTTGGTTCACCTTGATATATTTATTTTTGTGGAAAATATGGATTTTTTTAAAAAAACATTGCAATTTCCAATATTTTACCTGTATGAAGAACTAAGGTTGCTATGGTCCATCCATAGCCTACGGAGGATGACCGTGACAGTTTTGTTGAATCATTCCATACTTGGACATGTCATATACAGCTTTCAAAAGCTATTAAATTGTTTTTTGTAAATTAATGTGTTAATTTTGAGGTGTCTTTTTACTTTCAAAAATGTCTTCGACTGATGTTGCCCTTTGTACTTTACTTATTGTGACGTTTAAAACACTTGCCGTAATACTGTGACCGTCCATCCTGGATTAAATTAATGGCTCTGGCAACATCAGTCGGGGACATATCCATTTTTTAAAGTGAGAAGACACCTCAAAAATTTAAACATTAATTTGCAAAAAACAAATTGATAGCTTTTGAAAGCCGTGTATGACATGTCCAAGTATGGGATGATTTAACAAAACTGTCACTGTCATTCTTCATAGCATACGGATGGACCATAGCAACCTTAGTTCTTCATACAGAAAAATATTGGAAATTGCAATGTTTTTTTTTTAAAAATCCATATTTTCCATAAAAATAAATATATCGAGGTGAACCAAAAAACAAAACTGTGAAGAATAGATTTTACTTGATAGATAAAACTTAATTTAGAACAATAGGTATACGGTTTTGCCACTCTACAAAGTGTCTTAAACTTACGGTAAAAAACATATTTTTATTTAAACCTGTATATTATAAACGTACGTCTATTTTTTGGTAATTTTTTAAAATGTGAGCAATTGTCCATTAATTTATCTACAATATTCTTTAATATTCGTTTAAATCCGACATCAAATAAAAAAGTTATTTGCGATTGAAATTTATCGAAAATTTGTGTGGATCGATTATTTTGCCTGTGAGTGTATTTAATCATTTTATATCATTTATATTTTGTTATTTTTTTCAATGGGATTTTCATTGAGGGCCTTAAAATTAATTAGAACTTAAAATGTAAATATCTCAGAATCATTTAAATAATAATATTTATTGATCACACATTTTACAGCACATATAAAACATATTGGACCAGTCAAGTAAAATTACAAAATAATATATAAAAACACTAGAAACTCCAAAAAGAAAAATATCTTGAAAATTATCATTAAGAAACTCTTCCACAGAATAATATTCTTTCTCTAAAAACAGTCTGAAGCTTGTTTTTCGGCATCTTGGAACATTTACAACAAGACGCAATAGACACAACTTTATTATAACATTTAATTCCCATATAAATAAAGGAATTTTGACGTACAAAGAGACTCCTTGTTGAATAACTATGTATGTTACTATGAGTCAAAATGTATTTTTATTTTCAAAAATATATAACATCAAATTTAATATGTATAATCGGGGAAGAGTTAAAATTCTGTTAAATAGCAAGCAGAACTTATTTTTTTATTTAAGAAAAAAATAATTAACTTTTGACGATCAAAAATTAACGTCAACATGTAGAGTCAATATTTTGACGCTCAAATCGAACAGTCGGCGACTGTCAGTCTAAAATACATAAACGAACATATCCACACTGAAAGCAAAGATTTTTAAATTTGAATGAATTTTATATATTTAACATTTCCACTAATCTTACAAAATCCTTAAAAATACATTATTTTAAGAAGTCATTTAAATTAATTTAAATTAAAAATATTTAAACCTTATAAATTTACTATGTAAGTACTTTGTTTATTACCGTAATAAAGTTTTAATATTGAAATCATTTTATATCAATTATATTGAATAATTGTTTTTTAATAACCTAAATTTATCATAATTGCATGACTTGCATATGTGATATCAACAGCGTCAAAGCAAAAAATCTGAAATCGTTTTAGCTTTTTTGTTTTGACACTAAAAGTCACGTGAGGTGACCACGTGACTGTTTTGATGCTAGCGGCAAGCGTCAATATGAAATTTGACCTTGTAAGGGGACATCCATTAATTACGTGAGGCATTTTCCTGATAATTTGGACCCCTCCCTCCCCCTTGGTGAGTTTTGGTGAGATGTGGTAGAACCCCCCTATCCCTCACGTGAGATTCTAGCCGTTAAACTTTCAAGGCGGACAACATGATAAAACCCAAAAATTACTTTGTTTGACAAATTTGAATTATAATACTTCTATTCTTTGAACCCAAAAGTTGACGTGAGATTTTAAATGACACCCCCTCCCTTAACATGAGATTTGGTGAGATTTTGCTAGACCCCTCCCCCCCTATTTTTATTTTACGTAATTAATGGATGTACCCTAACGTCAACAATACGTAAAATGTGTAAAGGAAAGTATAAAATATCTTTGACGTTCCTTAATTTTACAGAAAGTGGGCACCATATTTATACAAAAATAAAAGTGAAAAACATCTTTGCTAGGTAAAGTTTGAACTTTTTAGACTAAAGTGAAATTCTTAGGACTTAAATCTTAAGACTGTTATATGATATAACAGTGTTGCCGTTTCTATGGTAATTTTACTAGGGTAATTTTAATGATTTAGGGTATATTTTAGGGCGGTGATAATTTTAGGGAAAAAATAGCTTCATGTATCATTTGCATAAGGGTCTCCAACGAGGGGGTGCTTTCGGATATTGTGTTTTGAGTGGGAAAAACTAAGCAGAGCGACTCAAACAGTATAATATATTATATTATATGCTATACACAATAATGACTATTAAAATTTAATATATTTAATAGGTATATTAACAAATTATAAAAATTAAAAACAATTAAAAAATGACACATTGTTTTGAGGTTTCTTTTGCTGTGAGAAATATACGGCCATTTCAAGCGCGCGAAACACAAATTACACTGTTTTTATAAAAAAAAATTTAGATAATTTATTATACAAGGTGTCCCTAAACTTATTGGCATAAATTTAGGAAAAGATTGAGCAAGTAAAAATAAGACGAAAACCTAAATAAATATTTTTCCTAACTACTTATGTTTCCAAGATACAGGGTGATAAAGTGTTACGTATCATATCAGTTTTTTTAATATAACTTCTACTATGGTAGACTTCGAAAGGTGATATTTTGCGAACAGTCACTTACTACCAAAACACATAATTACAATTGTTCGAGTGAACGCAGTGTCGTAGAAATAGGGGTTGCTTAAGCTTATTGTCCCATACAAACTTTGAGGTTAGGTTTTTATACCATTTGATGCAATTTTTCGATTACTCAGTTCGGCTACTATTAAAAAGGTGTACCTCTCAAACTTCTATAAAATAAACCGTTTCCGAGATATCCGAGATTAGAATAATGTATAATATTTTTGCAACAAAATTGTCAAAAATATTCTTCTTTTATTAGGCTATAAATTAATTTAAAAAAAAAACGAAAGAAATATTTTATAAAAGTAGAGATCATTTTAATAATTAAAAGGTGTGGATGGGACAAAAAAAGATTTATCTTGTCCCGTCCACACCTGTCAATTATTAAAATTATCTCTACTTTTATAAAATATTTCTTGCGTTTTTTTTATTTATTGTATAGCCTAATAAAAGAAGAATATATTTGACAATTTTGATGCAAAAATAATATAATAATATAGTATTTATAATAATAAATTACCTACATTTTTTTGTATAAAAACAGTTTTGATTTGTCCCGTCCGTATGCTTGAAATGGCCGTATAGTAGGGACATATTTCCAGGTTACATTTAATGTATTCCAAATAGACTACTATAATTTTATTTTAAAGAAATTATAGGTAAATGTAAATAATTTGGGCATTAGGGCCTATTTTAGGGTATTTTTGTTTGTATTTAGAATAACCTGGGGGTAAATGCTTACAATAACCACTTACTAGTGGCCATTCGGATTTTGTTCTTGTAGACGGCTAGTCGTTTGCGACCCAGGAGGGACAAAATCGGAATTCCAGCACAAAAATACGCTGGTTTTTGTCAAATATACAAAGTCTACAATAGATTAAGTAATTTAAGAAAGATTTTCACGATGGATGGGTGAAATAATTAAAGAAATAACAGTGCATACAGCCATCTGCCATATGGTGCATGGTAAGAACTATAAGTCAACACCGAAAATGTATTATGGGCGAATTTTCGTTAAATGTACATTTTGTATATATATTTTGTCCAGGCAGGTCAATTTAATCGTTTTTTTTCTTTGTGATAGAACAGTGTAATATACTGCAAAAAAAAATGAAACATTGTCCTCCTAACGCATCTTCCTGAACGTTTTATGACACATTGCCTTTGACTTTTTCAAACGTTATTTTTCAGAAATACTGTTAAATGTAAATATCTTTCGGCATTTGTTTGGAATTTCTACTATGCTATAATACAAAATGAAAATAAAAAGGTTAACTACTAAAACAAAAGTTGTATGCAGCGTTTTGTAAAAGACACCCAAAAAGTGTACGCAAAAAAAATATTTACAAAAAAATTCTGTTGTTGTTGCCAAACTATCAAACTGGATGCCCTCTAGAAATAAAACGCTAGTATCTCTATCTCGTGTCTCTATTTCGAAGCAGTCGGCATAGAAGACGACGTTAGGAAAAAGACAAGATTTTTAAATGTCAACTTTAATATTTTTTTTGCTTAACTACTTTGTAGAAAACTATTTTAGTTTTATATACGAATAATAGTATATTACACTACAAGGGCAGAAAGTGTGAGATTCCTGCACTGCGCGCCATGATGCCCGAGGCGAAGCCGAGGGCATCATGGCGCGCAGTGCAGGAATCTCACACTTTCTGCCCGTGTAGTGTATACTATTTTTCTTGCTACCCCGCAGAAAATACGGGAAAAAATTAAATGTATATAAAAAAACTTGTGTCAAAATTAAAATCTGACGTTTAATTTAATTCTGACGTTTACATTCAAAATCAATCAAACTGTAGCGTTGTCATGGTAATTCAGCGGTGCCAATACAGTAAAAATAAAAGGTTGTATTTTAATTAACAAATTACTACTTTATAACAAATAAAAGTACCATTAAACACTTAAAACAACATAAAAAGTAAAAAAGTAAAAACATAAATTGTTTATTTGTTGTTATAATTGAAAAATTATGGTTTAAAACTGTCATATTTTTGTGTTTCTCATGTTGGCAGTACGAAATTTGAATGTTAAGCACACGACTAAAATATTTTTACTCCCGCTATTAGAGTGTGCGCGTATAGCTTGACCAATGCAAGAAACGTAAACTTTCTGCCGTGGAATCGGGGACGAAACAACGTATTTTGAGTCGAGGTAGTAAGAAAAATAACTTTCCCTTGTTCAAAAATAATTTATTTTTATAGAAGAAAGCTGCAAAGAAGAATATAATAATTTAAATTAAAAAATCGCCTCTGGCGACAGTTAGGTTACAGGACATTTCACCTAGTTTTTCTGCCATATATAGAAACACAAAGTAATTAAAAAAAATAATACGATGGGTCCTAACAGAAAGGGGGTATTTATATATAATAAATACAAAACTTATCAACAAAGGTAAAAAAAAAAATTAAATTAGCTGGGGACAGCAAATGTACATTTAACGAAAATTTGCCCTTATATTATTTATTATCTGTAATTGAATGGGAGATGAAATGAAGAAGTGTACATATGAATTTTAAGTGTATTGTAACTATATTTATTAATTGGACGAATTAAAACAGAAAAAAGTATAAAAAAGTGACAGTAATAAAAAAAAAATTGAAAAAGAAGGAAGTGGCTATGGGAACTCCTAGACTCGCCCTCCCCAGTTATAGAAAAAAAGTTTAAGCTGGCCAAATCCCGGAAGGGAAAAGTCAAACAAATTAAAGAAGAAGAATAACACTAGTGGCAACACTGGTTATATCCAGTTCACACCCTTGAGCCAGCGAGTATGTTGGTCAGAAGTATTCTGCTAACCGGTTTTTATTTTTCATGAAAACCGCGGTTATACTTTTAATACCAAATCGGAAAACATTTCTTTCGACCATTTAAAGAAAAACGGTTTTGTCGACCGGTCAAAAATAGGTTTTTTTGGACCGGTTTAAAACCGTTAATGTACGTTTTTTAACCGGTTAACAATCCTATGACCGGTTAACCGCCTCATAAGTTTATTTCTGACAGCCTTAATCGTTACTAGCGATGAATCGTTCTTTAAAAATGTTAAAAACCCACCTGTAGACAGTCTTGACAGCGGACACCAAACCTCCAACCCGCCCGGCCTGTTGCGTGTTCAGCAGGGTCTTGCAGACATCGAGGGGGGTGGTTATCGCGGCCGCCACCGCGCCCGCCAAGGCGCCACTGGCCATGTGCGCCGCGGGGTTGTAGGTGCCATCTTTGTTCGTGGCCTTCTGCGCCAACTCGTACACCATGAAGTGGATGCTCTGGAAGGGCACGTTCATCGTCAGCTGCGTGGTATAGCTGCGGTAGAATGCGCGCGAGCCCTCTGTGTGGTAGATGTGTCGGACGCATTGCATCACGGATTTGTACGGGGAGTTGATCATTTGCATTCGTTGTTTTACCACTGAAATGATAAGTTGATGATGATTTCAAGTTTTTTATTTAAAGTCGCGGCCAAATTTGTATGGGTGCACGTCAGCATTACCAACTTTAAATTGTAAAGTTAATGCCGTTAAATTTGCTTTTTAAGGCGTAATTCTGATGTGTTATAAAAAAATATTAATCATTTGCGTATTGTTTACCAAGAACTGTAACAATTTCTCTGTTTTAAAACGTTCTTTTACGAAATTATGAAAATAAAACCATTCACTTAGTAATTTTTGTGAGTGCCAGTTGCTAATAGCTTAAGGCTGGCGCGCACCGTTCAATATTATTGATGGGTCACCGTTATTTTTTTTACGTTTTTTTGTTATTTTGACATTACGTCCGTAAGCATCGTTTGTTGCAGATTATTATAAATAATTGTATACATTGTGTTTATCATATTCTACCTCTGGGATTTGCAAACAAAGTTACAAGGCTTGTTGGCAACCCAATTGGATTGCGAAGACATTGCACCCTTAGTAATAAATTTGGAAAAATAATCAGACTCCAAGTATGGTTCGCTCTGACCATAAAGACGACTGGTAATTTAGTATTTTTGCGTTTGTGGTAATTTAGTATTTTTTTTTGTTATGTACACATGTGGTGAAATTTGAAAAAAAAACGTTTAAAAAAGCATGTTTTTTTTTCTGAAAAAAAAACAAAACATTGTTTTTTTTCAAATTATAAAAAAAACTACCTAACAAAGCTACAGTTGACGGTTGTAGATCAACTAGATCAGCGGTTCTCAAACTGTGGTACGTGAGGCATCCAAAGGTGGTACGCGAATAGATAATAGATGTACTTGCCTTCAAATAAAAATATCGTTGGCTCAATTTTATTAAAAATCTATCATTTCCCACATTTTATATTGTAAATGGCAACACTGTTGTTGGTGTTTATTAAACGGGTAACCCCCTGCTCGTTTTAAAATCGTGACGAGTCATGCGTATTTTGTTTTGTTCTGACAAATTGTTGTTTTAATACTATAAAAATTGGTTCTGTTTAACGGTTATCAATATTTCTTATTAAACTACAAGTTCAATAAATACGTACAAGCAGCACAACTTGAATGGTACGCGAAAAAAAAAGTTTGAGAACCGCTGAACTAGATTATAGTTCCGACAGTTCTCTGTCAGGTACTTCTGAAAACTTTTCTGTATACGACACTGACACGTCGGAAGGGCCAGAAGAATTTGAATTCTAATTATATTGATTTTAAATGGTAGGTAATGTAGGTTAGGTACCTACATTGACATGTAAGATTTAGATGCTGCCTATCCTTTTCTTCTTATAAATAAAAACTATTTTAGTTGTTTTAATTTTTATAGACACTCATGTATGTTTAATTTAGAAGCAAGTTTTTATTTGGTTTTTTTATTTAAAAACCTCTATTATAATTAACGATTATTTTAAAAAGTATCAAAATTGTTCTGCATTAAGTTTACTTTTTTCTCTTATAATCTCTATTAAGAAAAAACAATTAAAAAAAAAAAAAACAAAAATATCGAAAGAAAATTAAACCCATTGTTTTTTTTTCTAACAAAAAACATGTTTAAAAAAACCTTTTTTTCTGTTTACTACCACTATAAATAAAAATGTAATAAACTCCGTTTGTTTCCTATAAAAACAAATTTAATCAAAATTTGCCCGTAACAAACTCCTAATTAGTTAGTGTAGAAGATTATAACAATTTTGTTATAATTCTATCTTAATAAAGCGCCCCCACCGCCATAAACAGTCAAGAATACACGAGCATTAGATTGTGCCTGGGCACGTATGAATAGACCTTAACGTTGACGTCATATGCCGTTGATGCAGATTTGGCCACCCATGCAGATTTGGCCGCGACTATATGTATATGGTTTTACCTTCAGCGGGATTCATGATGCCGTCGTGCATTAAGGTTGCTATGCAGCCTGAAGCACCTGTAAAAAAGAATACAAATTTAAAATAGTGTTTTATAATTAAAATACTTGGGTGCAGTATTGTACTACGTATAGGTATCTCTTTTATTTGAAGACTTGGTCGGTTAAATTATACAAAAGTTTTGTGATTACAAGTCTATTAAAACGGAATTTAAAAATAAAAAAAACAGCGGTTCTCAACTAATTTAAAAAAAAACTCAAAACCTGTCAAAATAAAAAATGGTTGACTTCGATATCATTTTTTTTTCTTTCAATCTCACAGCAAAATATTTAATATATCCAGCAAAAAAGTACACTAAAAGTTTCAGCCCTTAATCTTACTATGTATACATTTACCAGTGGCGTGCATTTTTTAAATAAAAAAATATAAGCTTAATGTAAAAAAATTACTCAAAATAAATAGATTAAGGAAAACTGCTATTTTTTCAACAGGATTTAGACCAAAAGTTAAAGATTACTCAAAACCGTAAAAATTTAATAGTATTATAGTGTAATTGATGCGATAAACCTCCATATATTCTCTGATCTTTTGTCTTAATGTATTTATATAACATACATAAACCTCATCACTGTGCTTTGTTATTTAAATTTCCATGAATTTTGGGATATTGTGTTGGATCTAAGTTGGGCGGTCTAAGGAATGTGATGCCGTTCATAATCTGGATAACGCTTATCAAAAAGGAACCAAGCGCCAAAAACTTTTTCTGGGCTTGGTAAAATTATTTGTAAAATAACTCATTTTTAATAATGCTCAAAAGGTTGATCATCATTTGGAACTTTTCTCAAAAGGATTGAGAGGGTTCCCAAATGATTACACTGTGCTCGAATCGGAAACTTTTTTTTTCTAACAAAAATGGCTTCTGGGTGGTTAATGTATTTGGGGCATGCTAAATTCAGTGGTGAAATCCGTTTTTCTAAGTTAGGTCATTTTTTCGAGATATTTAAATTTAAAGATTTGACATAAGAGTACATAAAATTGCTATGGGGGGAATTCGATCAAATATCCATTAGGGTGTTTCATTTAAACCGAAATTTTTTTTTTCTTGCTGACACATGAAAATTTTGTTTTTTAGGTTGAAAAAAAAATTCCCTGAAAATTTGAGCCCTTAACTTTTATTTTTATTTTTAATTTTGTAGTTTTTCCATATAAAAAGCATGTATTTTTAATCATTTTTACTTTAAATTTCTATATTTTGGCTGGGTTTTGAATTATAATTTTTATCACCATAATTTCCTGCATAGTATTCACGGTTTTTGAAAGGCCCTGCATCAATTTTGTTTTTGATTTATTTAAGTTGATTGTAGTAGCTCCAAAAGTCGTTTTTTTCACTTTTTCTCACATATTTTTGAGAAAATAGAGCGAATGACTGGTTTTACCGAAAAATTTCAAATAAAAAAGTTGTAGGAAATTTAATTTTTGACAAAAAAGGTTTTTACGTTCATATCACTAAAGTGCTTTGTTTAAGAGATATAAGCAATTCAATAATCAAAAACAAAGAAAAAATAGGTTTTATTGAAATTTATGTAATTTGATTAAACAACTATATATTGCTTATATCTCTTAAACAAAGCACTTTAGTGATATGAACGTGAAAACCTTTTTTGTCTAAAATTAAATTTTCTACAACTTTTTTATTTGAACTTTTTCGGTAAAACCAGTCATTTTCTCAAAAATATGTGAAAAGAGTGAAAAAACGACTTTTGGAGCTACTACAATCAACGTAAATAAATCAAAAACAAAATTGATGCAGGGCCTTTCAAAAACCGTGAATACTATGCAGAAAATTATAGTGATAAAAATTATAATTCAAAACCCGGCCAAAATATAGAAATTTAAAGTAAAAATGATTAAAAATACATGCTTTTTATATGGAAAAACTACAAAATTAAAAAGGAAGTACTTAGAATCAAAATTAAGGGCTCAAATTTTCAGGGAATTTTTTTTTCAACCTAAAAATTAAAATTTTTATGTGTCAGCAAGAAAAAAAAATTTTTCGTTTTAAATGAAACACCCTAATATCCATTTTTCTTTTAAATATACACTGTATAAGACTTTTTATGATTTTTCGATTTTTTTTAATAAATAACATTTTTTCCCACCTTAAAACAGTTTTTATTTAATTATATTTTTTTAACATTTTATTTAAATACATTTAAAACAGTTTTAACGTTCAAATTGTTATTTACGCAAAATAATACGAAAATTAGGGGTACTGAGCAAAACTATATTTTTTAAAAATAAAATATGACATCTATATTTTATTCTATTTTTGTAAAATATGAATATACGATTAAATTGCACCAACGTTAGTTCAATAAAAGATTAACATTTAAGCGAATTGGAGCACTTAACGTCAAATGTTTAACATAAAATATTTCGAAAAAATGACCTAACTTTAAAAAATGGATTTCACCACTGAATTCAGAACACCCCAAATATGTTAAATACCCATGTCCCATTTTTGTTAGATTTTTCAACTAGCACAGTGTTATTAGTTTTTTAGCAGCATTAAATATAACTTATTTTGCAAATAATTCTGTTTACCCCAGAAAAAGTTTTTGCCGCTTGGTTTCTTTTCGATAAACGTTATCCATCTATATGTGATCCCCAAGATGGAACGCACATTACATTGAAAATTATTTAATAAGATTTAATAACTATTCTTGATATAATTTAATAATAATAATAATAAATAGCTTTGCTTGTTTAACAAAAGGCGAAGTTTAACAAAATTTATATGATCTATTATAATAACTTGTATATCCTTGATACTTTAAAATACAGGTACCAAACTTAAAAATGATATGCTATCATAAATCACTTATTAAAAATAATCCCCGCTTTTATCACTTAATGAACTTCTTCCTGTAAGCAAACCTACCAATTCATAGCAACAAAATAAAACGTCCTTAAATTAACTCGCCTTACGTAAGTTTTTCATTTATTAATTGAAAATTGAAAATATTAAACACACGATTGCGTTTATATTTCATTAGCATTTCCTCGAACAGAATTAATTTACATACATATGTTTGTAAAAAATAATACATCGGTTCATTAATTCCTGGAACAGAATTTTTTAAAACCGCATACAATGAAATTCGAATAAAAATATATTGGATAAAATTTGTTATTTATGCGTTAAATATTAACCCATTAGTATATAATATGAGCAGACGTGTAAATTTTTACAATACAAATTGGCTTATTTATATTCTCCAAGGAAATTATTGTTATTAATTGCGACACTGTGGATTTCCAGATTGTATTTGCAAAACCACTGAAGTGCATTACCCTTTTATCTGTTTTGTTACTTTTTATGCACATGTACATCCTTAAAAACGTTTATAAACAACTTTATTAATTCCTAGCGCGGTAACGGCTACACCGCGGGCGGCCTTGGGCCGAAAAAAGTAGCATATGTTATTTTTTTGTCGAGTTGTTAATAATGCGCAGATTGTATTCACAATTGTTAATAATTAAGGACTTTAATTTCTTTCCCTGTGAACAATCTTATTCCTTTTCCCTGTACATATTTTCATTCCCTCCCTGTTATCAGGTAAGAAATGTTTCATTCCCTCCCGTTACCATAATAATAAGTGTAATTGACTTTGAATGTAAACGTCAAAATTAAATTAAACGTTAGATTTTAGTTTTGACACAAGTTTCTTTGCGGGTACCCAAATTGTGTACATGCGCATAAGACTTGAAGTACTACAAAAAGAGACAGACTTACATATCATGTCTGCACCGTAGGGTTTTGCCCTTTTCCCATTTTTAACTATAGTTAAATATGGAAATTGGGCAAAAACCTGCTATAGCAATATTATAATAGGAGTATTAGATATATAAAAAATTGTCCATATCCAAATTATGCATTTAAGCAACACAAAATCATGGAAACTTAGGTTATATAAAACATTTAAAACAACAGTCCTACTTTTTCAATATTTTAAATAAATAAATATAAAATATTCATTATTTTAAATTTTCAAAGCTTTAAAGAAATATTAAATTCACCCACAAGCAAAGCATTATCTTACATGAGGTTTTGACCTTTTGTTGAACAAATTATTAAAAAAAAATCGTAAATAAAAAGCAAGTGATAAAACAATTATGCACAAACACTGTTATATTTAATTAAATCCGTATAACCTACATTACTCAACAATTATGCTCTTTTAATAGAAAATATAATAAGTAAGTAAGTAGGTACATTCATGTAGTTAAAAAATATTTTTCTAAAAAAACAATAATTAAGGAAAAATATAAACAATAAAAAATAATACAGGGTAATAAATAGGGATGGGATTTTAGTTATTTTACCTTTTTTCAACCGATGTAACTATTTGAAAACCAATAATGCCAAAATGTGTTTTAAAAGATTTTCTTTTATATGAACCTAACTTGTTTTCACCTTTTTTACCTTTTTTGGAGGTTTTTGCTTTAAACTACCTTTTTTATACTTTTGTAACCTAGTTTTTTAACTTGTTTTCACCTTTTTTACTTTTTTTGGAGGTTTTTGCTTTAAACTACCTTTTTCTACTTTTGTTCCATATTTTTTAATTTGTCAGTTTATTTTCACCTATTTGTTACCTATTTTTACGTATTTTTACTTATTTTATTTTTTTTGTGTTCTTTTTAAATTTTGCGCCAATATTTTATCCAGGGCGTGCAACTCAACGGTATAGAATTTTTTCTTATTTTCACAGACTGTAACAGTAACTTTCTTTACAGTTACCTTCTTTGTAGTGAGCTTATGTTCTGTCATAAAACTTCTGTGTAGTGAGTGTCACTCAGTGAAACACAGTTTATTGCATAGAAATAGTTTATTGTGGGTATGTTCTGTGTTTGGGTATGCGGCTAAACAAAATTATAAACGAAACTTGAACTTTTAATGTTTTTTTTTTTAGCTAAAATGCTGTTTTTTTTAACCTAAAATGCTTTTTTTAGTACCTTTTTAGTTACCTATTTTTCAGTTTTTAGTACCTAAATATCCGATGTCTAGTAATAAATGTGTTAATGAAGTTTTGTTTTTTTCACAAACTGTCATCAAATACATAACAACTAAGTCAAATTTTTAGCAATTTTAGTGGTCTCTTATTATTTTCTTTGGACTTAAAAATATTTGTAAGTCAATTTAAAAAATTCCTACAAAAATGCATACTGTTATACATACTTTGAATGCATTATTAACTTCCTGTTATTTATAAAAATTTGCGCAATATATTATAGTTTTTACAAACATACGTATTTTATAAAATTGACAAAATAAGAATAAGACACATTAAAAAAATGCCCAACTATTTATAGGTAGATGTACCAAAAATAAACATTATGAAAAAATCTACAAACCAAAATTAAGAGTTTATTTACATATTTATTGATTAAAAAACACCGTCTAGACTGATTAAAGTATGAAAATGTTTTAATATGTATTTAAAAAATAATACACGATATTAATGTGTTTCTTTCAAAAATAACCATAGACCGCAAAAAATATTAAATAAAGTCTTAATAAGGTTTTTAAAATATTTAAAAAAAAACCTTTAAACACCAAAAATCGTTATAATTTTGTTATTCCTGAGCTTTGAAAAAAAAAAGTAAGTTTAACATTTAAACATACACATTATTTTACATTTATTTTTTATAATGTCCGCCATAACTAATACATTGTTGGATTCCTTGATTTTTAATGTAAAATTCTAATATGGGGGCCATAGGAAAAACAAAAGATGGTGGTGTTAACTCAAAATCTAGTAGACAAAAAAAATCACAAAATAACTAAAAAGTTAAATAAAAGTGTGTTTTGGGTCTTGACAGGTTTTTAGTTTTATTCAAATTATTTGGGAAGCGCTGATACTTTTTGATTTTTAATGCCATTTTAATAGACTTGTAATTACGCAACTTTTCTCTAATTTAACCGACCTTGTAGGTTTTACCCATACATATTATAAATGTAAAATCTAAATAATTTTTTTATATTATTTTATTACTATGTATGTATACTAGTATATCTATTTCAGAGCTAATTGTAAGAATTAAAAATTATTATACAATATAAACATTTATATCTGAATGACCACAGTTAAAATGTGTTATCACAAAACGTGAGATATGGCAGTCATGGAGATAAACATAACGAAACCCGATTAAATTTCGGTAAATGTACTTGAGGATCAAATATAAAACTGAATATTCAATGTTACCACAATTTAAGATTTAATTTAATCATATAAGAAAGTCGTTTACCACAACTAAAGATCTTTCATAAACACTGGGTCTCTAACCACAACAATATTTTTATATTAAAATTATTTATTTGGGATCTTATCTTGATTATCTTAAATTAAAAGAATTATTTAAATTTCATTAATACAGGTATATTTCATAATAACATTAATTTTATCATGTTTTGATAGTATTTAATCAAAATATTGCACAATAATAATTATTGTGATTGGAAAAATAATAGTAATTGTTTAAATATTTGTAATAAAATGGAAAATCATTAACTGTACATAAAAAATATAATGTGATTTAAAACAATATTTGATTTATATTTAAAATTAAATAATTATTAATTTACCAATTTTTTAATATTTCTGACAATGATTTTGTGATTTTACATTACTAATTTATTTTCTTTGACAAGTTTTCGTGACAATTTAACTTTTAAAGCATTTAATAATTAAATAACAATTTATTTTAAAGGATTTTAATCCAAAATAGTTTAGTATTAAAGTTTTTTTGTCTATTACAAAATTTGACCTTCTAACATTTTAAGTAAGTAGAAAAGGTATATACAAAGTTTTCACAATGTAAACTACTAATATTGTATTGTATTGTATGCTTATTGTTTAAATAACATTTAATTGTATAAAAACATTTTTCAAAGTAAATTTATAGGGTGAGTAAATTAAAATAGAATTTTTGTAATGAATAATAACAATGTATGTATTAATATATGACCTTTAACTTGATTTTCGAGGTTTAATTGCGAATAATTATGATTTTTAAGTAAAATACCTAATAAAAACACAGTAAAAAGAAATACTTTTCAATATATGTAAATAATTTCTAACAAAATGCACTGTTTGATACATTTTTATTATGCCTTGTTTTAAATCTAAAATTTAATTTTATCACATATAATAATAATAATAATAATAATAGTGGAATAAAAAAATGTTAATGCTTGAATATGAAACAATCAGAAAATCAAAATGTTTTCTAAAATATTTATAAAATTATATGAATAAAAAACATGTTAAACCCTGTATATAATGACTTTTGTGATGTAAAATGTTGAAATTAAGCCAAAAATAATTTCTAAAAATTACATTTAATTGTATGTACTGAGTTATTCTGTATATTTAGACAGCACCTACTGAGTAAGATAAAACTTTAAATACAAAAGTTGTAGGGTTTGTTCTAAATCGCCAGTGAAATTCGCAATGTTAGTAAAAAATACAAAACTTGGCAAATCTTCAATGGAACATTATTTTCTGATGATTTAGGAAAAACCCTACAACTTTTTGTATTTAATGTTTTTTCTATCTCTTATAATTAACTCAATAAGCACTGTCTAAATATACATAATAACTCTGTACCTAGGTGATAATCATTAAATAAGAATTAATTTATATAAATAGTTTTAAACTTAAGTAAACAAAAATGATAAGGATATTTTTAAAATTATTTACATTTTTTAAGTGATATGAAAACAAAAATACCTATATGAACTTAAAGACATAAAGATTGAACCAAATAAACAGCATAAAACTTTATTAAGCAAAAAACAACTGTACAAACTTACCATATATTAACGTATTGTATTTATCACTCCTGCTATATTGAATGAGTGAATTTTTCAGGTATTCATAACTACTAAAATAAAGGGCATGTGAGGGACCAGCCCCCACAACCATCGCAGACATACCTCGAACAGGCCTTAATAAACCTTCATGCCTAACCATACGAAGAAATGTTTCACTTATACCTTCTCGACCCGATGTCACCAAACTCTGCATTCTGGTCTAAAAAGTTATAGTTTGGGGTTAGATTTTTTGTTTTATCAAGGACTGATATTAGGAATTAGGCGTGTTTTTTGTGTTGTACTGTTTAAGTGTGTATTAGTGTTTAGTTAGGCAATTGGAGTGACCTAACCAAAAAATTGCAAATTATGTTTATGGAATTTTTTGTCACTTTAAAGTATTCTGGGGGTTGTTTAGGGATGAATTTCGTGTTTTTAAGGGTTTTAAGAATGATTTGTGAGTTGTTTTAGCGTGTTTTAGGGTAATAGTAAGGCAATTTGACTGACCTAACCTCAAAATTTTCAAAGTGACGTTTATGAAATTTTGAATGGATTTGGGGGTTGTTTAAGGTTATGGGGCTACTTACTTTGACGGAATCGAGGGGGTACATTACGCAATGCTCCATAACGCCGGCGATGGCCCCGGCGATCATATGCGTTGCTACATTGTTGGTTGGAAGTGTTTCATAATCTTCAAAATTCATAATCAACCGGGCTTTTTGGTGGTACTTCGGACCTGGAAGTTGTGGCTATCGCGCAAATCGAATGACAAATTGTTGTTTGGTTTTTTTTCGTTGGGAATCGTTACAAAAATTTAGGGCACCAGGATTGGCACCACGCTCGAAAGTATTAGAAAGAGAAACTGATTCCCCCACCACCTCTACGGCTGTCATGTGGCGGATGAGCGCGCGCGTATTTTTGACGTCAAAAATTCGCCATGTGAGGTTGCGATTTACTATTTGACTCTTTTTAAATACCGCAATGTTGCCAAAAAATAAACGTGACTTTCTCAGAAGAAAACATCAATATTTTATAGTGTTTTTTAGAAGTCGATCGTTTCATTGAGGAATGAAGCGTTAAATGTGCAAAAACTGGGAACCAGTTTTTATCGTCAGAATTTCGGAGAAAGTTTTATAAAGAAATGCTCACCATATGGATGCTAAATAGATGCTCACAGAACAAATGCTCATATTACATCTCTGATTTAATTTAAAATTCTCTGAATTAGTTTAACCCAAGTTGGGAAACCCAACTATAGTTTTAACTTGATTATTTTTATAATTATTTTATTACCATTTTTAAAAATGTGATAAAATCTCATTCAGGAAATTGATTAGGTAGGTATTTCAAGTTAAGATAACTTTTTTTTAAATATTTAGTAATGATAACTTCTGCTTCCAATTGGTAGATGTCGCTGTATACCTAGATTTAAAAAAAATTGTCAAATTCAATTTATTTTATTTATTAATGATTTTTGATGATAAATGAAGAATCATTGATGATTTACCTATGTTAATATTGATATTATAATAACTGAATGCGCATATATGTATATAGGTATAAAAGTCAGTGGTGGACACGGAATTTCAAACGACTAAGTATTAATCATAGATAATAAATCATATAGATACGCCACTGTCACATATTTGACGCTCCTTGTTACGCACACTCGGTCCGCTATGCCGCTAGTGTACCCGCCTGACATTTATTGGTTTTAGGTTATGGTTTTAATTTAGGTTATCCTGTCAAATTTTGACAGTCAAAATGGTAAAAAATAAAAGGCCTGATAGTTTATTTAAATTGTTTATTTAAAAAGCAATAATAAATGTATTATATTTTAAATTATTCAAGGTATTTACTAAACTAAACCAATTAACAATATAATATTGTATTCAAGTGAATTTTATCTTATTAAAGAACACAAATCAGTATAAAGTAATAATATTATGTACCACATTTGTGTTAGTACCCAGGGCCATATTACCCATTAGGCAGGCAAGGCAATTGCCTTAGGCGCCACAAAAAAAATAGGCGCATTGTCCCCAACCAACTTAAAAAAATTGTTACCAAATGGTTTATTTTTCCAAAAAATAAAGCAAATAAACTATATACAATTATGAGAACGGTAGAGCACCGAATATTCTTTACTGTTTTTATTATTTTATAAAACATCGGCTTCAGGGCCGTGCGGTAGATTTTTTCAGTATGATGCAAGTTATTGAAATCCCGCCCCTTAAATGTTTTCTCTTTAAATTAATTAAAGATTCCGAAGAAAACAGCAAAAAATGAAAATATTTTTAATTTGAAAAACGTACGTATACGTAATGTATAACAACTATAGTTCTCTTGTAGGTCATTTGCATTTATACACAGTAAAAAAATATTTGTTAATTTTAACCAAATAATAACCCGATTTTTTGTTATTCCAGGTCCACATAACTTTTTGTTAAGTTTACAACCAACTGTATTTTGTAGATTTAATAACAAAATTCCATGTCAATTTCAACCATAATTCTTGTATTTTTTACAAACTCTTATGAAGACCCAATATCAAAAGTATTTGTTGTAAATTGGGAACTTTAAAGAAGAGAATTTGTTATAAGAAATGTTGCTTTATAAACAATTTTCTAAATAAAACATAATTAACACATACCGACATTTATAAATGAACATAAAAATAACATAGGTACACAAAATGAAATAACACACCATTCTGAAATCATCAGATTATATAGAAATTTAGTACAATATAACTATCAGTACTTTTAAAACACTTACTAATTTACTTTAACTTCACTATATCGCCTAATTTTAATTTGAAAACCAATAATGACATTATACCCAGTAAACACATACACGTTTTTTAAACGTATTTAAAACGTGTGAAAGGTCAATAAAACGTTTTACGTGGAAAAAGCAACGGTTTGATATTGGTATAAATTTACACCAATTAATTTAAACGTTAAAACAACGTTAATTTAAATATGCTTTTTAATAGTGCCTAACTTTTACGTTACAATAACGTTGTATTAAGGTGTTTAGTCAACCATATATTTAAAGGTTTAATTTAAACGTTAAAACAACGTTAATTTAAGTATGCTTTTTAATAGTGGCTAACTTTTACGTTACAATAACGTTGTATTGAGGTGTTCAGTCAACCATATATTTAAATGTTTAATTTAAACGTTAAAACAACGTTAATTTAAATATGCTTTTAATAGTGACTAACTTTTACGTTACAATAACGTTGTATTAAGGTGTTCAGTCAACCATATATTTAAATGTTTAATTTAAACGTTAAAACAACGTTAATTTAAATGTGCTTTTTAATAGTGGCTAACTTTTACGTTACAATAATGTATTAAGGTTTTCAGTCAACCATACATTTAAATGTTTAAATTACGTTTCAACCCACAATTTTTTTTCACAAATATTAATGAGAAAATAACGTTTGAAGTAATTATTTTATGAACTGTGCAGGCAGCTCTTTCTTTTAACATTTATACTATGTTATATTCAACACGCTCCATCAAACACTTTTAAAATTACTTTTTATATATTTATTTTGTGAAATTTTTGCTTAGTTTACACATGTATACAATATGACTTCTTATTTAAATTCTGAAGGTATAAAATCTAAGAATTTTGTTTGTTAAAAAAAATGAATTATGAATGAATGTTAAATGACTTTTTCACTTTTACAAAAGTATATTTTTATAACATTAATAAAACGGTTTTTGTCAAATACAAATATACCTACTTTCATCCACATCGTTTTTCTCTAAAATGGGATAACTTGTTTAAAAATGATTTATAACGTTTAATATTTAATAGACTGATGCAACATGTATACATACATAAACAATATACATAGGTATACATATTAGGGTGTGCCAAAAAAACTCGATATTTTTTTTTTCTTGCTCTCCGCCCAAAATATCGTAGAATATGTCCAAACAAATATTCTGTTAAAAGCGGAGCTCATAATTTCAATGTTAAGAGGTCCCTCATCGAATCTGAAGTTTTGCCGCTTAAATAACACAGAAAACTGACTTTTTTACCTTATTTATTCTTGCAACCTAGGAAGAAATTTTTTTTTCATAAAATCCATGACCAAATCTTACAAAGCATTAAATTTGGACGAAAAAATCTTATTAAGCCGAATTTCTATTTTCATTATTTGATTTTTTACAGAGCTTTCAATTTAAAGTTAATAATACAAAAATGATGAATTTATACGCCTGTAACTTTTAGAATATTGACGATACAAAAAATTCGTCTAAAACTTTTTTGTGGTCCATCAGACAAGCTAAAAAATTGCCATTTGACTTTTTCGTCTAACTTCAATAGTTTAGCTGAAAAAGGCAAAAAACGTAAAATTTTAAATTTAAAGCTCTGTAAAAAATCAAATAATGAAAATAGAAATTCGGCTTAATAAGATTTTTTCGTCCAAATTTAATGCTTTGTAAGATTTGGTCATGGATTTTATGAAAAAAAAATTTCTTCCTAGGTTGCAAGAATAAATAAGGTAAAAAAGTAAGTTTTCTGTGTTATTTAAGCGGCAAAACTTCAGATTCGATGAGGGACCTCTTAAAATTGAAATTATGAGCTCCGCTTTTAACAGAATATTTGTTCGGACATATTCTACGATATTTTGGGTGGAGAGCAAGAAAAAAGAAATATCGAGTTTTTTTGGCACACCCTAATACATATATATAAACAACATAAAATGAAATTTAGAAATTTTCTAATTACATTCTAAAGAATAGCATAAGTAATTCTATAGTCAATGGTCATACAGTAAGCTTTAGGCAGAACACTATACACATACACAAATGTTGCTTTAAGAAGTGCATTATTTTATTAACATTCTTTAAACTAGACAGTTACTGTAATAGTTAAAAATAACGTACTTAATACGTTTAAACAAACGAACTTAATACCTTGAAACAAACGTATTTAATACGTTTAAACAAACGTACTTAATACGTTTAAATAAACGTATTTAATACGTTTATACATAACCATATAAAACGCATAACTGAAGAACGCAATCTGATTGGCCGAATACACATCATGTGATTGGCGCTGCCAATGGCAGGCTGCCATGCCATAGCTGCTCGCTACGTCAGTTTTCAATTTGATTTTGCTATCAAAAGGTGCATTTTTTTACGTGTTTTCTGCTCGTTAGATTCGTACTGCTTTTGGTAAGTACTTTAATGTAATTGTTTTAAAACATACACACTGTTAATATCACGCAGATTCGTTGCTTTATTTCCTAATTTTCATGGGAGTGTGATTTTGTTCTTATTATAATTTGTGCAGCGTCCTAGAATAATATGAGAGTTAATATGTTAATTTTAAAGACGTTTTCTATGTGTTTTCAATGTTTATTAAGTATAGTGGGGTTACCCCACTGGGGTAGGTAAATATTAACTCACACAAATTAACATTAAGTTAACATTAAACTGATTTAGATTAAACTCAATAGTCATAAATGTACAGATGTTAAAATTGTGGAAAGAGGCCATTATTTTTACCGTAAATTGGAATTAGGCGTGATTTTACTAGAGAATTCTCTAGTAAAATCACACTTAAGTCGGCTCGATAAGATAAATTTGCTATGGTTATAGATCTTTTCAACAAGACCTGGTGTACGTATTGTAAATTAGTATTTTGAGAACACTCTTATTATACCGGGTGCTCTAAAAATACCGTTTTTTTAATCAAATTTCAGCCCAGCGATATTTCACAATACAAATTTTTGAATTTAATCCGTTGAACAACAAAGCCAGCTGAAAACAAGCTTTTTAAGCCATTTTTTTAATCTTATAGGGTTTTTCGAAAAATTAGTCTATTTTTCATCATTTAACAAATTTCTTTTTTGTGTTTTAGAAGCAGCTAAATTTTTCAGCAAACGATAAAGATACCTCCAAAACCTTTCCTTCATTTAAAAAAATCATTGTCTACAACCTGTATTCATGTTGCAGTTAACGT